ACTCGGTCTCGGTCTCGTCACACTCGAGTCGCTCGCTCTACTCCTCTCCAGCTCTCCTCTGTCCGTCGTTAAATTCGTTCCCGTCGTGCAGGTAAGYAGATTTCTAGGTTAGAGACTTAGAGAGGGGCCTCTTGTCTAATATGGTTGGGGGCCTAAAGAAGAGGTAATTACAAATACAAGTAAAAAAAAAAATTTGGGCTTTGGTGTTAAAATATTGTTGGGGGCCCAGGCCCCCTACCCCATTAAGGTGCGTCCGCCACTGTATATGCACACACACTACTAGAAAACTGGGCATTTCCGGCGGACAAATTCTGCGGATTTCCGGCGTAATTTTAAAAAGTCAACTTTTGTTGACTTTCGCCGGAAAAAATAAACCGGTTATATTTCCGGCGGATTTCTTAATTAAGGGTTAATTAATCTTTAAAAATTAATTAATATTTGAAAAAAATTAAAAAATATTTTTCTGGCGGATTTCCGGCGGCAAATTTAAAAAAATTTTAAAAAAAATAAATCCGCCGGAAATAGTTTTAGAAAAATAATTTTTAAAAAATAAAAAAAAACCTTTTAATTTTTTCCGGCGGATTTCCGGCGGAAAATTAAAAAAAATTAAAACTAAATCCGCCGGAAATAGTTTTTGGGAATTTTTTTTTTTAAAAATCTTTTAAATTTTTCCGGCGGATTTTCGGCGGAAAATTTAAAAAAAAAATAAAAAAATAAATCCGTCGAAAATCCGCCGGAAATAGTTTTAGAATTTTTTTTTAAAAAATATATAAAATGAATCTCTTAATAAATAATGTTTTTTTTTAAATAAATCCGCCGGAAAAAATTAAAAAATTAAAAAAATAAAGAAAATTTAAAAAATATTGGGCCTTAACGGATCGTATTGGACATTAATGGATCGTATTTGTTTTAACGGACCGTATTGGGCCTTAATAGATCGTATTGGACATTCCGGCGAGAAAATACTCCGGCGGATATATCCGCCGGAAAAAGTTTTAATTTTTTTTATTAAGTTAAACCAAATTTCTTAATTAAACCGGTAAACCAAATTTCTTAATTAAACCGGCGAAAGATTTCCGGCGGCCGTAATCTGCCGGAAAATAAATCAGCGGCGCCCTCTTTTCCGGCGGACAAATCCGCCGGAAACCCCAATTTCCGGCGGATTTGTTCACCGGAAAAGAGGGTAATTTTGGTAGTGATATATAGATGGAGGTTTAAGTAAGAACCCCTACAGTTTACAAAAACGTAAAAACAACCTACTAACCTTAAACTTTTTCAATTAATATGTTAAGTGGGGTTTACATTAAGTAGAATATATCCCTCAAAAATGGATATATGATAATGGAATTATGAAAGCTACCATCACTAAATATATATTGGCTTTTCATATTAACCATAAAAAAATGGAATATATACCCCTTCAAATCATGCACATAACCATCAACACTTGGCAGAAAAAAAAAAAAGAAAAAAAAATTATAAAAAGATTTGGTTAGTAAATTTTCTTATTGTGCGACCAACAAGAACTAGGTAAAAGCCCCCAACAAGAACAAGACAACTTGATATCATGATTGTTAATTGTTCAATTTGCAGCACACATTGATATTTCCGTTCAAAATATAAAATACAAAAATTATACACCTCGATGAATTAGTAAAAAGTCAACTGTAAATCGACCTGAATAAGTTATCTTTATTCGGTTAACTGAACCGTTTAAGCCGAAAATGAAAACCCAAAACCGTTTTCATCTAGATGGATTATTTGGTTTTGAAACTTTTTTTCTACACCCATAAGTGTGCTATTCACTATAAAAGTTTCTAGATTCGCCACTGACGTCACAACTGTTGTGGTTTGAATTACATTGTTTCGAGGTTTTTTTTTGGTTTGATTTTAATGGAATTTTTAATTTCTTTTGTCGATTTTGAGCAGTTTTTTTCGCTTTTTTTTGTTTGATTTCGATCGATTTTTTTGGGTTTTTTTTTATATCGCTTGTATTTTCTAATATCTCAGAGCACCTTTAAAGTTTAGTCTGTTCCCCTTTTAAATGCTAAAGAAAATTCTACTTACGAAAATCAATTGAACCGGGAACCGCTGGGGCTTCTTAGGGTGGGGCGGAGGGATCATCGATACGGAGTCCCGTTGGGCTTATAAATAGGGCAACGCCCATGCCATCCATATCCCAAACCACACCTTCAATCCTTTCTTGTTCTGCAATACTAATCAAACTCATCAATGGCAGCAACCGCGGTCCGTGTGTTCGGCAAACCAATCACCCACGGAACTCGTACGCAACGGGCCCTAGCCGCTAAGAACTACCAGAACGCCGATGGCAAGCTTGACCAGGTGTTGCGGGTGTCGAACCAGTCTCTGAAAGCGGCTGCAGGAGTGGGGAACGCGGCCACCGTCAGCACCACGTTTGGGAGGGTTTACAACGCCACGGGTGAAACCGTGACTTACGTGACTGCGTATGATTGGGAAGGAAATGTTTCCGGGACGTATCCGGTGAACATTCAGAACGGGCAGTGGGCCGTTTTCGAGCATGCTGGTACTCGTGGACCGAACCGCCAAGGATCGGTTGGGGCTCTTGTGTACGGCATTAAGGACACCTCTGAATTCATGATCTCTTGGAACAACCCTTGGAAAAATTCTCGAGGAAACAGCAACACTGTAAGCCTATAATCAATCATCTCTTTAGTTTTCCATTTGTTGACGGTTTTTCCTTGAACGTTAACCTGACTATATATATATATATATATATATATATGTAATACAATTAGCAAATTAATGAAGGTATATATATATAAATGTGTTGGTGTTGCATGCATGCAGGCTTATTGTGAGATGAACGATCCAGGATACTTTGAGAACTGCGATTGGGATGAAATCCTTGAAAAACTGATGGCTTCTGGTACCGAATCCCAAACAAGTTTGGAAGGTTATTCTACCAAAGTCAGCATCGAGGCTGGAGGCAATACTCCTTCTGTCACTGCTTATTTCTATCTCGACGTCTAGATGTCGACTCTCGATGGATCGCTCGATCGATGATAATAAGTTCCAGGAATTAGATGTATGGTTGTAATAAGAATAAGCCAAGCTTATTAGAGATGATAGGGTTGGCTAAAGTGAATGTTAAGATAAATAAAACGTTGGTCTTGGTCTTGGTCTTGGTCTCAACTTCATCAAGATTTTGTGTGATTTCAATTTCATTTTCATAAGTTTTCTATCAACAATTTGGTTTTTAAGTTTCAAAATCTACCAAGTTATTTGGGTTTCTTTTTGGAACCAGAAGCAGATATCAGATTATTTTGCAAACATTCAGTTATCGTCCATATATATATATATATATATATATATATATATATATATATATATATATATTGCATACTACGAAGAACAAACAAAAAGGAATGGGAATGTTCCTGCTGCTCTCTCTCTCTCTCTCTCTCTCTCTCTCTATATATATATATGTAGAGAGAGAGAGAGAGGGGGGGGGGAAGGGGAGAATCAAGTGATTATATACTAATACACAAATCATGTGTAAAATCATATGTGATTGTATACTAATGATCAAATCATATATGATTGTACGCTAACGATTAAATCATGTGCAAAATTATATGTGACTGTACACCAATGGTCAAAACAAGGGCGTGGCGGTGACGTGGCCCGCGACCTTAAATGTGATTTTTGGTAAAACCACATATGATTCGACCATTCTTATTCTTTTATTTGATTTCTGTTAGCGTATGAACCTGACGATCATATACACACACACACACATATATATATATATATATATGTATATATATATAGTTTTATGTATGATCTAAAGGTGTATTAAGTTTATAGAATATTTTTAGACGTTTTAACAAGCTTTTTAGGGCGCTAATTTTGAAATAAATGTCCCTTATTAGTCTTTTAGTTTATAGGACGCTTTTAAGAAATACATTTTTTATAGGACAATTGTTTTGTATAAGACATTTGTTTCAAATAGTATCATAATCTAATAGATTACTTTGGCTTTGTTTGTTTTTTATAAAAAAAACTTTTATTAGTCTCTCATGTCTGATTCGTTAAGAAGTAGGGTCATTCAGAATGTTTTTCTTTCCAATTTTTCAGAGACAATTATGTTTCATTAATTATCCTTTTATCTGGTAAGAGGCAAACCGACCTCTTATTTGACTCTTATTGGTTTAAGCCCCCAACAATGACATTTCTCAATTGATTAACTTTGATCGACCATCTCATTAAATCCTTACCAAATCAATCCTCACATTTCTCGTATTTTAATAGGATTTAAATACCGTCAATGACATATTTTCATTTAAATTAATGCTGATTATATAATTTAGATGTAAATTTCATAATGATGATGAATAAATATGTGAAACTATATAAATTTATCTATGAATTCAACACTATAATTTTTTTAATGGGTAAAATAGACAATTTAAACAAATTCAGATATTTATCAGTTTACAAAAACAAACAGTCTTATTGATTCAAATTTCAGACTTCAGCACCACCTCTTATAAATCAGAAAGAAGATAAGACTTTAGCACCTCTTAAAAACCAAACGCCACATTTGTTTCAAAAGTGTCCTAAAAAGCTTTTTAAGACGCTAAAAAATGTCATATAAACTTATTACAACACCTATGGATAAAAAAAATAAGTGTTTAGTTTTATAAATGCAAGTCCTATAAGGTAGTTTTTCAAGACACTGAGACATTTTTGTATATTATATATAAATCCAATTTTATTATAATGTTAACTAGTGTTGTCGATTAATATACATGCATGACCACAGTAGTACAGAGCAAAAACAAGCTAAAAATCCGTACTGTTTAAAACCCTAATTATGCCACCCTAGCAATTCATCGCCATTAATGAAATGAGGGTTACAAAATATATACACTACAATAAAATCGGGTTTATAGGACACTCTCAAATTCTAAGTGTCCTAAATAGACCTCTTTATAGGAATTAGTTTATAAAACCAAAAAAATAAAGTGTTCTATCTAAAGGTGTTGTAATAAGTTTATATGACGTTTTTGACGTCATAATAAGTTTTTTATGACACTTTTAATATAAAGTGTCCCATTATCAACTTTATATGACACTATTTGAAAAATTGTTATTTTTAATATAAAGTGTCCCGTTCTGATGCATATTACTTAAAATTCAAGATTACAAGTAATTTTACGTAAGTACAACTTATTAAAGCTTTATTTTTAAATTCATGTAACTAACTGCAGATAAACATAACCAAATACATGATAAACATCCATTTGAATTATAGAAAATCTAAAATATAATTAAAATAATCATTGAGTTCTAACAGAATATTTAATTATTATCTTTATAAAAAATGTATTGTTAAACCAAAAATAAATTACTCTGTTATTTAATCTAAATTAAATTATAATAAAAAATTTGAATTAAAGAAATTACACCAAAAAACGAGAACTATTAAATAGTTAATTTGATACTAATATCGATTTTTTTTTTCAAATTTTCATGTTATCTTCAAATTTATATTTCATTCAAAAATAATAACCTTATTGATTTATCAAAACCACATAAAATCGTATTATATTGATAAAGACAAAGAATAAAACTAAACATTAAAAATCAAGACTTATCTCGCTGCATTGCGGAAGTACTTTTCTAGTTTATTAATTATTAGGATGGTTGATTAACAATACTTATTTCGTCGTTTATATATTGAGTTAACGTTTGTGAAGGTTGATTTATTTTTTGTTAATTGTTTGAGACTGTTAATTAACAAACTATGTTTGATGTCTAATTTCTTAATCGTTAGGGCTTGTTAATTAATAAAACTTGTTTAGCTGATCGATGCCTAATTACTAATTGTTAGAGTTTGGTACATAACTGTTAATCGTTTTGTGCTAATTGTGTCATGTTTAAATTCCAGTTTCTCAATGCTAGCATTCGAAACCGGTAGTCGCAGTATTTGGAAAAAATGGTTTCATCTCTTTACCAACTGAACTACACGATAGAGGCTGGAACCTGTATTACTCTCTAAGGTCCTCGTTTGTTTTGCATGAATGGAATGAATTTGGGGGGATTTGGATTTCAAATCCACTTCAATCTCATGTTTGGTTTGCTGGTTTGTCCGGATTTAAAATCATACGATTTAATTGAAATCATACATTAGGAGGTGTTCGGAATTTCACAGGATTTCGTAGGTTTGTATGCAATAGGGTTTTAGAAAATGTTAAAAACATTTGTTTTGTAATAATCGATTAATAAAAATGTAATTTAATTATTTTTATAATTTTTTAATAAATTATTTATAAATAATGAAAYCCAATTCCATTCCAAATCATACAAACCAAACACACCAATGATTTTAAATCCAAATCCATCCATAAAATTCAAATCTCTCAAAAACAATCATGCAAACCAAACGAATCTTAAAAGAACAAGAAAAAAGTTAAGCCATGTTATAAGTTGTTGCCAAGACTAGATCGGCCAGTGTCGTACCATAACCTAACCATGATTAAGCCATCGCCCACCGAGCTATATTGAACTGAATTAAAATTAGAGTCCCCGTCCGTGTTTTCTTATTTTAACCAGAAAAATACAGAATCTTTAAAAGAAAGTCAGAATTCAGATATTTTTCTAAAAACCGAGGAGACGTTTTTCAAGACAAAAAAAGAATAAGGAATAATTTATCCATAAACAAGATCATATAGATGAAATATTCCATGGTGACAAAAAAAGTATGGATCAATTATTCATCTTGTCTAGCTACCTTTTATATGTCTTAATGATTAAGCTTTTTAATTAAGTATCTGAAAAACTTATATAAGACTTGATTAAGAAGTACTTATACTATTTTTAGGTATTGAGTTTGTTTAATTATTTATTATGGTTATATAAATAAAGGGAAAACAATTAATTAGGCTACTTGTTCATTTGCACAAGATGTATAATCGATCAATTACCTTCAAGTAATCGACATATATATACAAAGAGAGACTTGAGATCATGTGAGACAAAGCTATTTTCTCGAGACACGTGAGACAAGTTTTTTACAGTTGAAACATCACAACAAAATGCTGTGAAGGTTCGACTTTTTTTTTTACCTTCACAGCGTTTTGCTGTGAAGTTTCAAGTGTAAAAAACTTGTCTCACGAAAAAAGCTTTATCTCACGTGAACCCAACCCTATATATATATATATATATGTAGAGAGAGAGAGATATGAGCGATAAAATGTAAACCACTCATATTTGTATAAACCGTGCAAAGTGCAAACCACTCTCATTCGTCGTTTCATTGTTTAATTTAATGAAATTGTTTAATATTATGAAGTTGTTTAATGAAATCGTTTAATCTTATAAAATTGTTTCATATATATGGTTGTTTTTATATTTTAATGAAATTGTTTCATGTATTTTCTTTAAATTTAATATAATGAAAATGATAATATCCATAATTAATACCATCCATGATAAAAAATCATTAATCAACCTCTCATAATTACAAAAAAATAAACAAAAATAAAAAAAATGTGATTGGTTGAATGAGGTTTGTACAAGTAACGTGGTTTGCAAAGTAAATACTCTCAGTCTCTCTCTCTCTCTCTCTCTCTCTCTATATATATATATATATATATATATATATAGTTTCATTTTGTTATTATAAGTTGGGGTATTTTTTTACAAACGTCTAAAGCCTGTAGAATGTTTGGACAATGTCTGATAAAACAACGAACACACGACAGTACCACTAGACTGTCGTAGTGTAAAAAGTTACATGGTCGTGAAAAGTGTCAATGTATCAATTTGTTGTATGCCACCATATACAGTTTGAAACTACAATGAGGCCACAAGTTTCTCTTGGTAGAGTTGGTTTTGCAATGTTTTTCTTCCACCCTATACTTGATTTCGAATTTCGTTAGTGTCATTTTCTTAGTTTTTAACTTTTAATTTCAGATTTATCATCTTTATTCGGAAAAAAATGCAATAAAAGACTTGAACACATGACATCACGTATGAAAAGCAATGAACTGGCCAATGATCAGCTCATCGAAGGGAAAAGTGAGAGTCTAGCGACGATCGAACACAGATAATCAATTCTTATTTATTCCGACWACTGTCACTTTATAAATCGGGCCTAGATAATAAAAAAC